ACAGTCCTGCATTCATCACACATGATTGTACTAGTTAGTTCACCACCAAAGATGCGATCCACAAAACTTGGTACTGATTTTTTCTTTTCATAATCTATAAAGAAAAAAGTTTTCATCTTTTACCCAAGATTAGTCAGAGTAAAACACTGTGCAACCCAGCAAGTCTTTCTATATCAGCTATTCCATTAGTAAAACGATTAGATCAGAATAGGATGAGTAATATTTTACTCCCTTGATTGAGCCCTCACAGTAGAACATTCAGTAGGTCCTGATGAAAGATACTGTAGTAGCAAACTTGGGAGACGAAACAAAAACTTTAGGAAAATATTTCAGAACAAGGAGTGGTAGCATATGCCTAGAATCTCAGCACTCAGGAGGCTAAGACAGGAGCAGTGTATTGTCATAAGTTCAATGCTAGCCAGGGCTGCATAATGAGTTCAAGGTCAGACTGACCCCATCTCAAAAAACTAAGAAAAAAAACTTTCATGCAAAATCTCTTTGGGTTTTTCTATGTCCCCAGAAATGATTTTAAATTTAATATAAGGTGACATACATTTATTTCCTGATTACCTAGTTTTCCAGATATATGAAATTATTCAAATGACAGGTATCCATTTATGAAGAACATTTAGGCCAAACGGTGTCAACAGCCAGGGTTCTCGGTCACTGGCCAGGGTCTACATAGGAGACAATGCTACTACAAATTGATTGGAACCTGAGCTTTACAATAATAGTAATGCTTAGTTATGGCCATTTAAATTTAATTAAAATTAAATAAAAATTTAGTTCTTCAGTTTCATTAGTTATACTTTAAGTACTCAACAACCACATAGGCAGGTATGGTGGCACACGCCTGTAATCCCAGCACTTCAGAAGGCTGACGCAGGAGGATCATTGCGAGTTTGAGACCAGCCTGGGCTACAAAGTGAGCTCAAGGCCAGCCTGAACTGCATAGCAAGACCCTGTCTCAAAGACAAAAAACACCTAAATTGGCTCCATATTAATAACCAGCTACTGATAACTCATACCAGTAAGTGTGATTCATGTATTACTTCTAACGATAATTCTAACTCCTTGGAAAAGAAAATCATGATGTCATTAGTTCTATAAATTTTACTATAATAATGTAAAAAAAAGCACATACAACAATTTAATTTTTCTAAAATATTCATCTTTGAACTACTAAATATTTTTTAAAACCAGTGTGATATAAAGAAATTATACATTATTATAAATTTGAAATACATGTGCCAGAAATCCTGTCCTAAGGTTACAGAGGAATTCAACTATAGTGTTTTAGTTGAAAAAGTAAGACATTACCTTTAACTTTATTTTTCAGTTCTTCATCCAATTTTTCAGTAGAATTACCAAATGCTTTAAGAATTCCTTTACTCACTCTCTAAAAGTAATAAAATGGATATATATACACTATTAAATTTTAATTTTATACTTATTTTCCTTAGAAAATATGTAATCAAGTCAAGAAAGGTTCAAGATATAGCTCCCCAGATTTACTGAAATTAAAATTAATGTTTCTAAAATCACATTTCCAAAATTAATTCCAGGAGCTAAGAAGAATTATGCCTATAAAGCAATCCCCAATGCTTGAATAAAGGTACTTTCTTATTAAGACTATAAACCTATTCATACCAAAGCTATTGTGAAGATGCCCACTTCCTTAGGAGAGACTCTGACATAACTTGCCCTAGATGCAGAGTGGCTACTTGAGAACTACAGGTACTGACTCTAGCACCTAGGGATCAAGCTCCGTCATTCCAGGGTGACCGTGAACTAGATTCTAATCTGTACACCCTCGCTTCAGAATCCATAGACTGAGAACAATAACAGCATCTACCTCGCAGGATGACTGTGAGAACCAAGTAAGGTAATTCATATAAAACACTAATAGTGTTTCACATAAAATGAATATAGAATTAAATATTGTTATCACTGTTGCTATTATAATTATTAATTATATCTACATCCCCAAGTATATTATTTCACATCCTGGCAATTAACAAAAATTTTTAAATGCAACAAATGTTCCTTGGGCTGGGTATATAGCTCAGTGGCATAAGTGTCTGCCTGGCAAGTGCAACGCCCTGAGTTTGATTCCCAGTACCAAAAAAAAAAACATGCTCCTTGATTCTTACAAAATAAAAATACTTCCTATATTCAAAAAAGTTCTATTATATCACACTCAGAAACAAAGTAAAGTTGTGCTATAACTAGGAACTGTTTTGGAAGAAATATCTTCTCTGCAGTTTTCCTGGTATAGACTAATCAACAGAAGCTTTAAAGAGAAATTATTGCTTAAGGGGCTGGGATTTAGCTCAGCGGCACAGCACCTGCCTGGTAAGCACAAGGTCGTGAGTTCGATTCCCAGTACCGGAAAAAAAAACAAAAAGAAAAATTATTGCTTAAAACAGCAAGTAGGGGGGCTGGGGATTTAGCTCAGCGGCGAAGCGTCTGCCTGGCAAGCGCAAGGTCGTGGGTTCGGTTCCCGGTACCAGAGAAAAACCAAAAAAAATAAAAAATAAAAAAATTTTAAAAAAATAAATAAATAAAACAGCAAGTAGGGACTAGGATGTAGCTCAGTGGTAGAACATTTGCCTAGCATCTATAAGGTCCTAGGTTCAACTCCCAGCAGCACACACATACCAAAAAAGAAAAAAAAAAAAAAAAAAAAAATCAAAATAAATGACATGGATAACTTCAAAAAACAAAAAACAGTAAGTAAACCAATACATCTCAAAAAAAGAATCACAAGGGCTGAGGATATAGCTCAGTGGCACAAGTGTCTGCCTGGCAAGTGCAAGGTCCTGAGTTTGATTCCTGGCACCAAAAGCAAAAATCAAAAACTCTGTGGGGCCAGGGAGATAGCTAAGTGACATAAGCACCTGCCTGGCAAGCACAAGGTCCTGAGTTTGATTCCTGGCACCAAAAGCAAAAATCAAAAACTCTGTGGGGCCAGGGAGATAGCTAAGTGACATAAGCACCTGCCTGGCAAGCACAAGGTCCTGAGTTTGATTCCTCGTTACCAAAAAAAAAAAAAAAATTTGTGATGTAAGCCAGGCATGGTGGCACATGCCTATAATCCCAGGATTTGGAAGGCTAAGGCAGGAGGATTGCCATGAGTTCAAGGCCAGCCTGGGCTACATAGTGAGTTTGAAGTCAGCCTAAATTACATAGTGAGACCCTGTCTCTCAAAAAGCTAAAAAAAAAAAAAAAAGTGAACCATTTCTAATTCTCTTGATGTATTCTAATGAAGTAAAAGACACTGGCTGAAAAAGCTGGTATAGAAAAAAATGTTGGGGCTGGGGATTTAGCTCAGTGGCAAAGCGCCTGCCTGGCAAGCGCAAGGTTGTGAGTTCGGTTCCCGGT